AAGGCAAGTGTTAACATTTGTAAGATTCAGAAATAATAGCTTGCATTTCGGTAAGAACAAAAGGGAAAACGCTGTCTTCCGCATCTTAGCTTGTCCAGAGTACTTCCTGAAGTCCTTGGAGCTGAAGTGGAAGTGCTCTGGTCCTTTGTGGATGGCGGCAGTGACTTTTTAAATGTCTGATCCTATATCTTTCCTGGTTTTTTGTATAAAAATGGTTAAACAACTACTACTAAAGTGTCCTTCTAAATACCAGTTTACTTCTGCACTCATTAAGTTAAAATAGTTTCATTTTACAAGTTTCCCATTACTTGGGAATCTTTAACTGGAACCAAGGAAGTCCTTGCTCATCTTTGGTAAATAAATATCCTCGATCTGTTACCCCTCCTTTCTTCTCTTCCCTCCTTCCTCTTTTTCTTCCTGTCCATAACAAGGAGGACAAACTTCTCATAGTACTTCTCATAGCACTAGAATAAGACTCATGCTTTCATGCTTTCTGCCTCTTGTCCCATCCTCCAAATTCAAGAATTACTTCACTTTTCAGTTAAGTATGCTGGTAAATGAAAGTCAGCTTGTATTGAGAGCTGCTTTACATTAAATAATTACATTTTTAACAGTGCTAACTACCCAGTGCCAGTGTAAGCTGTTGGCATACTGACTCTTACTGTGATAGCTGACTGATTACTAAAATAGCTTGCACACTTTTCTTTCGTTTGAGGTATTTTCAGTAGCATAAAACAAACAGGTCAGTAATTTTTATTAGTTGGGTTTTTTTTGGCTTTTTTTCTGGTAAAATGTGAGCAAGTAATATGCAAAGGGCATTGGGATAAGCACAGTGAATAAGACAATCCTTGTGTTATCTGGGTTTCTACCTCGTCACCTTTGTGTGCAGTGCTCCAGTTCTGCACAGGTTGCAATGGATTAATGCTCAACTGAAGTTACATGGCTGTCCTAGTTTCTTCATTAATGAAAACAGTGTAATAGTAGCTGAAGTGACACATGGGGCAGGGCTCTGGGTGACCCACGTTCTTGTGCTTCAGCCACGCTTTGTCTGGCTACCCTTTAAGGTCAGTGTTTAGGATGAGTGGGATGCTGAGGGTATGCATGTGTTTTAGTCTGTTAAGACAGTAGCATCTCTTATTGCATTTATGTATGCCCCTTTCAATGACAGCAGTTCTGTATCAGAAAACAATATTAGTGTAAATCTTTACAATGTGGCAACTGTCTCTTCAACTCAGTTTCCCAGATGAAAGCAGGGGGCAAACAGCATGTAATCATCTGGTTACCAGCTGGTGTAGCAGATAAATGAAACAGTTGCCTGCTTTGCAAGATGTAGATTAGGGCTGGGCAAGACTTCTTGATAAATAGTAAATTAGGCAATGGCTGGTTGGAAAGTGTTTGTTATCATGGGGTCACTTGTGAATTTGCTGACAGCAGTGAGCAGCTCTAGATGGAAATATTTTTTCAATGTTTAGCTCACAATCTTGAGTCTCTCTCCCATCATAAAATGAAGACCGTCATGAAAGAGAAATGATTGAGAAGTTTGCAGAAGTTTCTTAGGGTCTGGGTTTGGTCCCTCCTTCTGCCTCTGTCACTCTGGAACATCCTCCACCATTTTTCAGCTTCTGGGTATTCAGGATGTTCTGTGCAGCTTGGGCTGTTGTGCTAACAGAAGGCTGTCTCAGAGGTCCATGTGTCAAAAGGGCTCACTCCCAAGCCCAGAGCTTTTTTGTTTTTAAATGAGATGCTTCACTTGAACTGAGTAAGAGAATGGCATGAAGCTGAGTGTTAGTCTTCACAGGCAGTAGCTGCATCTGCTTTAATGAATGTTTAAAAAAATTTTTAAAAAGACAGCACAAAAACCACAACAAAATCTTCATACGAGGTGGGAGGGAGCCTGAGCCAGAAAGGTGAGAGTGCTCCTCCCCAATACTCCTGCATTCATGTGGGATATGAGGGTTCAAAGTTCTTCAGGCAAAAAGACAACCCAGTTCTCCAGCAAGTGATGTGTATCCTGTGTGCTGTGGGATAAAAGGGGCTGCTGAGCATCACGTCTGCCTCCTCTGCTGCTCCTGCTGAAGAATCTCGCTTCTATTGCTTTTCTTTCAAGTGCCTAGAGGTGCACATTTTCATTTCAGGTCTAACAAGATGTTGTTAAAAAAACCCAAACAACAACAAAAACTTTTTCTGCAGAAAAACAAAAGAGGAAAATAAGGACTTTTTGTAAGTAGAAAAGTTACATATTTACATAGCAGTTCGTGATGTCAGTATCTGGAATTAGGCACCGTACTGCAGAACTGAGCTCTGAGGCTGCTAGTTGTCAAGTTTATTCATGGATTATTGCTAGCTTTAAAACATATGAAAAGCATTGGAGGTTTGGAGAAAAGAGGCAGGAGAAACTGGGGGTGCCAGAAGACGGAAGAGCATTGCTAGAAAGAAGTGTAAATTCTTTGCATAGTTTGCTTAGTTCATATGAGCAAGTTTTGTATCTCCTCTTTAGTGTAAGGACAGAAATGCTCCCTAAAGCTGTGAATGACGGACTTTATTTTAGGCTGTGAGACTAAAAGGGAGCAGTGTGGGTAATTCAGAGATAGAAATGTTATCAGAGCTCCTTAAAGTAACGGACAGTGTTGGCAGAAGAGCAGCTGGGTGCGAGGTGACGGGAGACATTGCAGCAGGAAATCAGGATGTTTGCGGAGCTCTTCAACTTCAGTGAGGCTTTGAGGCAGCTTTGTAGTTTTTCATTTGGGGCTCTTCCCTCCATTGTTTCTAGGGTTTTTTAAGGTAGAGAATCTGGATCATTTATGAATAAAATTATATAATGTAATTTTTCTTTATGCTGTTGGCAGCCCCGAAGGTCTCTTTTGGCCTTATTTCTAGAATCTCAGCAGTTAGAATCCTATTTGGTCTCTGTTCTCTGAACTTTGGTCTGTATTACACTTTGAAGGCATCTGGGAAGGTAATTAGGAGAAGTAATTCTGTTTGGTAGGCTTAAGTCTTCTGTGTAGACATGCTGATGCTGTAGTGGCTCCTGGGGAACAAGGCAGGAGTCAGGGAACACAGAAATTGAGACGCTGCAAAAACATCTTCTGTCAGACTTTGTATTTTACATCATCTGTAGCTATGTGGTGCTTTTAACTAATGAACAGAGGTTTGAGCTGAGCACTACTCGTAGTACAAATACACAAGCTATATAACTTTCGCTATTTCTGTTGATACTCATTGAGAAGAACTTTGAAAGCATATGTAAGTGTCTCAATCTATTTGATGTTTGGGGGTGGTCTCAGCATGTTTTCTGATATCGTCCTTTTAAAATAGCAGTAATGAGACATGCTGGAATTTCGTTTTGATGAGAAAGTAAATGTATGTTCCCCTGAATGCCCTCTGCTAAGTGTTTTAAGGTTATAAATCTCATAATCCAAAGATAAAGGTCAAGAGAATAATCCTGACATGCAATTTGAATCTTTCTTGGGCTTGTTTCTGGAGGAGAAGGTATCTTCAGTAGCACTGCAGTCTAATAATTTTGTCGATATCATTGAGGTGAGTTGAGGTACCTTTCTTGGAAATGTTAGTCAAATGCTACTTGTTGATTTGGGTGAAGGAGTAATTGTGTAATATCCTATTTTAGACTGTTGTCAGGTAGCAGTCCCTTGTGGCTTTAGGCTTTTCGGTGTTGTTTGTTCAGAGGATAATTGAATATCCTGATCGGAAGGGACCAACAAGAATCATTGAGTCCCACTTAGTTTGGGAGGAAGAGGGGCTGGTTGTTTCTCCATTTTTCCCTGAGCAGTTTAAAAATAAAACCAAAATGGAGTAAGGAACATCTTCATGTGTGTGAGACAGCTGCAAGTGTTCTAAATGTCAGTGATGCACCTTGTGCCTCAGCTTTTGTGCAGCGTGCCTGGAGTCTTTGTATCAAGAATGATGTAGGTTTATGCCTCAATAGCCAGCGACTTCGCACAAAAATTAAAACCATACTTAAGATGGAAGGGCTGGAGGTGAGTGTTTGCTTGTTGTGTAGAAACATAAACTTACTTGTGATCAAGAACACTTTGTGTCAAGATGTTCAGCTAAAATGACTTCTTATTTTTTAAGCCTACCAGTAAAGAAAAGAGCAGGTGTTTGTGTAATCTGCTTTGATTTGCCTGCTTTCTGGGGGGAAAAAAATAAGTATGATTTTCTTCTCTATAACCACTGTTTATCTCAAGATTGGGAGTCTCTTCTAGAGTTTAGAAGATTGATTACCCAGGAACCATGTGCACTTTCCCAACTTCCTTTAGCTTTTGATGCTTCTGTATTGATACAGTGATACAGGACAGAAAAGAAAGCTTTCATCCCCAAAAGTTGCATGGCTTCTTGTTAGCTTACTGTCTAGATTAACACAGAATTGTTTGTTATTAGAAATATTTCTTTGTAATGGTTGAACTCTTGATATGTACAGCTTACATTAGGGGTTCTGTTCTGCTTCAGTTCATTTGTGAGATTCTTGAATATGAACTGGAGATGACTTGGGATTTGTGGAAAGAATAACCTTTGCTCAGGTAGTCCTTTACATTTGGAGAATATTCCTAAATTTGCTTGTTTTCAGAAATACTTCCTGGGTAGTTTCTTGCCATCATTGTTAAAGACCGAAGTGTATCCAGGTGAGAACTAGCATGACTCTGGTGTTTTTCCCTTCTCTAAAGGCTTCTTTATTGATTAATGTCTGACGTGAGGCTTTTCCTGTTGTCAGGAGACGTCAAGTGCAGGATGTTAAGCATCCTATCCTATCTCCTACCAGCAGAACTTTGTTCTGTGTATTAAATATTCTGCTAGTCTTTATTTTCTGACATATTACATGAGCAGCATTCCTAGAGCAGTCAAAAGAATTGCAACTTAGATACGTTAATTTATGTGTTAGTCCTCTCTTTAGTTACCCTAAAAGGAAGGGCACTGTTACTGACATTCCATGCTGTCCATAGTGCTCCTGTGATCGTGTCTTTCTTTTTTCCTTCCTAAAACAGCCCGCTGTTTGTAACGTGGAAGATTGGTCGAGATAAACGATTGCGTGGATGCATAGGTACTTTTTCTGCCATGAACCTGCATTCAGGACTCAGGGAGTACACACTTACTAGGTAAGACTATGTTTTCTGCAGCTTTGACTTATGTATTTAAATACTCTGATAGGGAGATGATGGGTGTGTTTTTGTTTGTTGGTTGTTTTTTTGGCTGTATCACTGTACAGATTGATGTAAACTTCTACCTCCTTTTTATGCTAATTATTGCCTATTATTTGACTATTTGGTGTCATGAGGTTATGATTTAGTTTAAAAACTGTAACTTGAGCCTTTTTTTTACTTTATTGGTTTGGAAAACTGTTCTCCAGTAACTTGCTGCAACTCACTGCTGTAGTATTTTTCCCCTGTTTCTAAACAAATTTAAGCTTAATAGTTAGTGGTAGAGCAGAAGACCAGAAAGTCAGATTTTGGGATTATCCTATTCACACTTCTAAAACAGCAGGTATTCTCACCTCTTCTCCATCAGGTGCTTCCAATCAGCATTCCAATTTAATGCTACAAATTTCCATTACATGTTACTCTTCAGATACATCCCAGCCCCTGAGTGGGAAGCTTCTGGATGAGGGAGGTAAGTGATGATAATCCTTCACTCCCCAGCAGCATAATCCTTCATTTTTTTGATCTACACCTAAATTCATTCACCTTAATATTGTTCCATTTTCTTTGCATAGAGTGAAAACTAATAAGTTGATCACTAGAGCTAGTAGCAAGCTTTCTACTTGTTTTGTTTTTTTTTTTTTTCTAAGAGTTTTCTTTATTTTCTAAAGAATCGATGGAATTTGGTACTCTCAGTTATAGTAGACTGTTCATGGTGCTATAAAGTAGAAACTATATATTTAGTCATTTGAAGACCTCTGAAAGGTCACCACTTAAAATAATTGGTGCCTCTCAATAGCTTAGGCTTTCCCCCGTTATGAGGACTTCCTCTGCTATTAAAGCATCATGTAAATCTCAGTATGAAGTAAGATTAGTAGGGGGAATGTTCTTTGTTTCTTGTGCCACTGGTCTGTTTCAAGCTGTTCATTTTATGCTTGCTTCTGCTCAGCTTGAAGAAATCAACTGCTGGAGTTCCTTGTAAACTTCTCGAAGACGTAGTTATCTTTACTGTGTTGGTTTTATTGTGTGGTCTGGAATACTTGTGTGTTCTTTAAAACCTTGGGAGGCAAATTAATCAGTGAGAAGAAGCTTATGATCTCAAAGCAATTCTTCTGTTGAAGGTTAAATGCCTTACAGTCTTAGATATTAGTGAGTCAAAAACAGAAATAACTCATAAATGACCACTGAAATGTAAAGTTCCTGTTTGAATGTACCCAAACCTGTTATTTTATCTCAATTGTTATTTTAAAAAATAGAAAGCTAGGGATACCTGAGAGCAGTTTCCTTCGTGATGATAGTCTTTCCAGCTACAGAGCTTCCAGCAGAGTATTTGAGGAGTTACAGAAGCAACTTTGACATACCTCAGAACTTTGAGAGCTCCACAAGCCTTCCTAGGAGGCGTCAGAAGCCAGGAGATGTAACTTGGGCAACAGATTCTTGGAGAAGGTGCAGCAATTCCTGAAAGTGAAGAAAAACTTCTTCAGGCAAGGCAGAATTAATCAGCAAAGTAGGTAGTGTGTGAATGAACTGTCCATTTCAGAAAGTGCAACGTGACCAAAATTTTCAGTTGAGAATGTAGACAGAGACTCTTCTGAGTTTATTTTACTTTGATGCTAAAAGGTACTTTACTTCAGTTACTCCAAGGGCATGGCACTGCTGGACTGAACCAAATTGTCTGTCTGTTCATTCTTAACCTTCTTCAGCACTCTGCATGGGATTGTGACCCAATTTTTGGTGAGAAAAATAGTGGATTCCAGCAGATGTTCTGACATGTCCTGGTGCTTAGCAGTCAAAATATCAACGGTTTCTGTCAGGCAACATTTTCTTACCGATATGCTAACAGTGTTTAGGATCACAATAAATAAAACTTTCCTTAATTCTAGTAGTGATCTCTAATTGTACAGCATATACAGTGTGTAGTGTATATGCATCTCTACCTGCACACAGTAGAGTAGCTTCTGTCAGTGACGTAGTGACGGCTCTCCTGAAGTTAACAGTTTCCTTCTGGAGGTGGAGATGCATACAAATTTAGAAAACTTTTTTTGGCTTATGTGCAGAAATGCTATGATGTGTAACCAAGGGAGTCTCTCTTCCCCATTTTGAGCTCTGTTGACTGTGGCAGTGGTATTGCCAGTACATTCTAAACAGGAAACTTATGTAGAGTGATTCATCATTAGTTGGATGCATCTTGCTAAGTATGAGGAGAGATGAGAATACCCATAGTTTAAAAGTGGTAATACTGTATTCCTAAATAAATAAAATCTTAGAGATCAATTTTCTCTGCATATCAGTGTAGCAAGGGAAGGAATTTTATTATTAAAATCCTAAGCAGAAATTTGTGAAGACTCAGTTTTAGTCACTTTAAAATAAGTTTACTAAGTGATTAGTTGGATAAATATCTATCTTTTTTCAAAACATTTTACACCATTGAATAATTAGGATATAAGAAGTTCATCATGGGCAAAATAGTCCTTTAAGCTGAATGTGTGAATATCCTCCTGAATGCATAAATGTGAACCAATCCAGATTATGAAAAATACCTTGTGTTTTACAGCTCCTCGAAAGAAATACTCTGAGCTTGGTAGCAAGTTACCACAGAATTTCCTCATGGGTTGATAAATTATTTTTTTCATGTATTTTGTTCAGCAATAAGACTTGGGTTTTCGTGTTAAAGTTTTAAACTCCTGCTCTGTTACACTTCGGGCATTGAACAAAATGGTTTCATTTACCCTATACTTTTTAGTTTTGTTTTTCCTGCCACTTGCATATAATTCACAGTCGTACTTTTACATTTAGTAGACCTAACAAGTATAGTTGTAGCTGCTTTTGTTTATCCTACCAAGGCTAGAATTTATATATATATATATATATATATATATATATATATATATATAT